ATAACTCGTTTGAACTTCGGCCGTACAAACGGGGATACAAGATGCTATGTATTGAAATACAGTATATTGTGAAAATTGTGCGACACATTACAGGCAATATGCATTTGTTCCATATACCCCGGTCTACTAAATCCAGCTCATTGACACCATATTGCACATCACCTCGTATAGAGATGCGAATGCACATTCGTTGTCTATGGGCTGTGTTCCCGCATATTCCGATCTGAGTATAGAGCTCATAGTATACTACACTCGTCGTATAATCTATTCCGTGCAGGAATATGAATACCTCTGAGTTGTATAATAGCTGTCTATGGGCTATGTTCTCCCGTATTCCCTGAGTTTATGGGACGCACTATCACGACAGTGGCCGTTGCCAGTGTTGGTTGGGTTATTCATGGCGACAGTACATATGCATTTGTATTTTCCGTTTCTGATACGCATGCGTTCTCGAGCATCACTGGACTCATGGTGCACAACACTCCGTCGTATAACCCGCCGTATACCCTATGCCGTACAGGAATGTGAATATCTATGAGTTGCCGATGGATTTGGTGCCCTTAGACTCTGACCTGTTGTCCATGGAATTGCCCAATGCTTTCAGTGATGTTGAGTTGCACGGCGATGACACCCCCTTGTATTACGCGTAAGTCCACACACCGCCACACACATGGCATAACACGAACTGCAACGGTATCCTGTAGAAATGTAAAACGTACGAGCCAGCTTAGAGCTGGAAGTGCCCATCATCATGAATTCAAGACTTGTGCAAGCGTTCTGGAATAATCTTGTGTGCATATATATAAATGCAGCAACATGTGTGTATTCGATCATTCGGCAGATGCTATTCGGTTAATATCTTTATTACGTAGTCACGCATTGATCGAGTAGCCACACAAAGCGTTATTCGTACTACACTCCAGTACCGTGTTCATTCACCTGCCCTAATCTCAACGTTTATGCACACAATCGTTCGTATACACCATATCGATACTGATCCTGGTAGATTTGAGCTATATATATATCGTTAACTTAAGTTTCATCATACATCCGTCCGTATACACCATATTGGTACTTATTCCAGCACTAGCGAGTCCGTATGCAGTGTTACTTAGTGGATCTGCTGAATAATAGATTCTGGAAAGATGTGGCATAACAACACCTCTATTTTTAGTACTACAAACCCTAAAACTTGTATACTGTGCTTGAATGCTCTCCTGGTGTATAGTGCAAGATCGTTGGTGAAACTGCAGGAAGTCTACGGAGTGATACCCACGATATGCGGGAAAGGGAAGAGTGCGAAGGTGTGTATCAGTAGTTTTTGTCCCTGTATTGGGCCGATCTTCTGCGCGTCTATACACAACGGAGTATGTGATCGTATTGAGAATACTGTATGAGTTATTGTAGATGTTCGGCACTTGCCCTCATACTGGTATGGACGTTTAAATTTCCATGTAGTGTTCAAGGTTACATTTATTTCGGGTTTAGGGTTTAGGACATTCAATCTGGGTCAAAGTATGAGACATCCTAGTTTTGTGTCATCTTAGCAGCGCATTTGGCCGCAACAATCGGCAGTACATGCACCGCCCACTTGTGTCTGTATGAGAATTTGGTGACCAATTTCACTGGTGCGTAAATTTCGTTCTGACATTACAACAGTCTGATAAAGAGCTCACACAGCAACTTTTTTTTCACTGCAGTGTTGATCACAAAATGCTGTCCTGTGCGCCTTTCAGCTGCTTTTTCAATCACCCCACAGGCTATTTCATATAGAAGTGAGTTCATGACACGGCAGTATAGGAATGCCTTCGTAGTATGACAACATCCGCGCTCTACTACCCCACCCAGTTGCCTCATGTGTTCTCCCCATGACTTCACTTCACTTCTCGCACGTGATGCCCTGATGCACAATTAATTTACCATCTCTGCGCTGTACAGCTGGTGGCCGATATGGTGAAACGTATGATTGTGGAACAAGGTAAGTGTTTCATGGGTTTTCGTTTGCCCTCTACCGGTGTAATAATAGTACGTAGGCTTTCTCCACAACAAGCGACAATAGTGTAAACACGTACACGGAGGTGCACAGTGGCCACACTGGCCGCTTCATAGTGGTCACAATTCGTAATGCAACACAATGGGTGTCTGCAGACTTAGCACAAGTGTAGTTTTTCTCGTGCGTTTTTGTACTAAACACACTGGTCAGTGTCACGGCTTGTGCACTTGAGCAACTTCTGAATGCACATACACTTAGGTAGGTACTCTGAAGACCCATCGTCGAATTGTATGTACCATATATATAT